TAGCTGAATCCATTCAGCGCCGTCAAAATATATATATATTTCCATCAATTCCACGACATTTAACAGATCACAAGCAAACGGTATCCTAAAGGACCGAAATTGCAAGAGAAAACACAAGAAAATGCCAAAAAGAGGAGAAAGAAAGCAAAGAACAAAGAGACGGACTCACCCTCCTCAAGCAAACCCCCGAATCAGGTCATCGACCGCCACAATGCATAGGAAAGGCGTCATTTTGAGATCCCGAGGGATCACCACCGGCCGACCGCGGCACCAATCAAGGGGGAAGACGAGGAACAGGTGGGGGAGACCGGAGAGGCCTCGAAAGATTTTAGAGATGTGCTCCCGTTGTTTTGCTTCGGCTTCGGAGAGATCCCTGAACAGATGTGGTTTATATCATCAGGAAGACGGGAGAGCGAGGCTTGGCCTCCTCTGCCTGCCCTGTTGCAGGCACAGTAGAAACAACCAGGAGACAGCCTATTTCTCTGGAGGCGCGCTCCTTCGATACTTTCTAATGACAACACGATAAAAAATGCTCCTCCTCGCAAGAAGATAAAAGTTCAAACGTGGTCATCTTTCTCTTACTTTTCGCTTGAATAATCGATTGCATTACCGGTGATCGGGAGAATGGTGAGTAGATGATGGCATTCCAGATTCTTGTCATCAACATTCATTATGCAACACCTTCATCCAACTCATTACACCCTGCAGCATCCACACAACAGTGCTGCAAACAGGCATCTGCTTTCCATGCTTCAATTCTTTTCTCTATCCTCCCAGTGTCAGGGGTGGTCAAGGACAACGTCAGAGGCCAAACGCCAAAAGGCTGCAGTTTCACCGAGAAAGTTTAAAAGTCCTTCTGCTGCCAGTCTTAGTACGGGAATCTGCCTGACATATACTGTAGTAAACTTTTGGATGTTATGCATGTCTTTTACCCACTGGTAGCAGACAGTGAACATTCAGATATCACTGTGGAGCTGGAAGAGCTACAGTAATATCCACACAACTTTTCCTAATATTATTTATTTCAGGGTTCATGGTTCATGGTTCATTGTTAGGTAGATGCATATAGTAATGCATCAACCTGAGCAAGACTAATAGTACAAGACCACTGTCAAAGTGGAATGATCCGAAAGATATATAGGTTTACTAGTCTTAAACTATAGCTTGTTAAGAATTGTGGGCATCAAATTATCCTGTCCAGGAATCTTGGTCCTACATATTTTGACTGGTTTATGAAGCTTGCCAAAGAGCCAGACGAGGGTTGTCGTGGAATAACAGGTTTTGCATGCATGCATGCACTTTTGTTTTTGTCTGAGCAAACTTTATTGTGCTACAAGATTGCAGAATCATCATCACATTGTTACTCTTATTGCTTCCAAAATTTGCAGAATTCAAGTTTCCCGTGCATTTAGACTAGATTAGGAGCACTTTTGCTGAACGTTACTGATGTCTTCAACAGCTGAGTGATCCTAGTTCTTCATGAAACTAACGTTGCTGGGAGACTCATGGACTACTACTGTGTCGTCTTCAAGCAGATTGATATCTGAGACTAAAGGCGTTGTAGTTTATGAGCAGGAATCGACTTGAGACGACGACGGGGGAAGTGATGCGAGAGCATCTGCGCTGGCGAAGCGGATGATTTGACATCCATGCATGTGCTTGCGTCAAGATCCAAGAAAACGAGACCTACAGTGGAATTGGCATGTGAAGAATTGGAACGCGCGGAATGCCAAGAGGAACAGGCGACGTGTTTTGAGCAGGCTTTCCATGAACAAAGAGGAGCCGAGCAAATGTGTGATGAGCGAGCTTGTCGACAACAACAACTGTGCAAGAGATCCGCGATCAGGATGATATCTGAGACGCCCAAATCGTCCGGTAGGGGGAGTTCTCCTCTCCCTTGTTTCTATTACGCATGGCGGTTCCCAATGCGGCCCAAAATCCTCGGCCTTGTGGACAGATTCGAGCCCACACAAACGCTATAATTGGAAGAAATTGGTCAGAGGAATTTCCAATTTGTAAGTCGAAGACCTTTGTACACGTGTCCTCTATGTCAAAAGAAAAGATTGAGGACTCGTTGATATGAAATGTTGCCAATGTTGGAAGTTACAGGTTTGTGTCAATTTTTTTTCTGTCTATCGAGAATTAGATAGTAATGACTTGTGTGTTTTTTCTTCTACAGAAAACATAAAATGTTTCTAGCAGAGAAGTCCTCTAATCTGTTGAGTAAAATTCTTCCTCCTAACTTGTGTAAATAGGAGAGGAACATGTGAATACAATCAAGCTTCTTCAATAATTTATTTTCAATCTCTTTTCTAACATGGTATCAGAACCTTCTCCTAGGCAGTTCTGTCGAAGCCTTCTACTGTTCCTTTGGGTGTCGGTATGGAAGCTGAAAGGACTATGTCGACTTCCTTCCTCCACTGCAGACCAGTGATTCCTCTCCCGCTGCCTCTTCCTCTTTCCTGTTCGGTTGGAAAGGGCAGCACTGCTGCTTATCTCTCCTCCGGTGCCTGTGGGCTTCTTCTCCCGCCTCTCTGACTCTGTCACCCGCTGCCTCTAGGAGCACCGTAGCTGGTCCGAACTCGCCGACCGCTCGGCCACCTCCCGCCCTCGCAAGAATCTTGCCCACGTTGTCGTGGTGGCCGTCGTCCTCGTAACTGCTCCCCAGCCAGCGATCTCTCCTCCTCATTCCCGCATCTCGCTCGAGCGAGAAGTGCCACTACCACCATCCTTGCCGCATAGCCATCACTGCTTTCCTGCGACAGTAGGAACGGCAGTTCTTGCAGCAGCAGCCGCTTCCATCTGCAGCTGCATCTTGCGTCCTCTATTGTAGCAGCTTTCGCTACATCTGTTGCTACTGCCGCTTCCATCTGCAGCTGCATCTTACTTCCTCTATTGTAGCAGCTTTCGCTACATCTGTTGCTACTGCCGCTTCCTGCATTGAGGCCGACGGAGCTTTAGCAGATTTCTCACAAATTTCTCCTGCTGCAGCATCGCTGCAGATTTCTTTAACATCGCTACAGCAGTAGCTTCTTCAGTAGCAGCAGCAATATGCTACTCTTCTCACTCATTTCCTCCATCTTCCGTCTACTCTTCTCACTCATTTCCTCCCCCACTTCCTCCATCTACCGTGAAGCACTACAGTAAAAAAAAAAAAGAAAAAAAAAGAGGTTGTGATGTCTTTGTTAGCTTCGTTCTTCTCCTACATGGCTTATCTCTTTCAAGTTATCAAAGGGTAGCAACTATGTATCCTGACGAGCTCAATTTTCCAATCTCTTATTTGGATACGACTTGCTAGGTTGTGTTGACGGCTCCTTCAATTCTCCGCCAGTCATGCTCAACATCCCCGGAGAACCTAGTCCAGTACCTAATCCAGCTCACAAACTGTGGTTGCGTCAAGATCATCTCATCCTCTAAGCTATTCAAGCCTCAGTTGCTAGATCCATTGTTCCATTGATTTATGCATGTGTGACTGCTGTCGATGCGTGGTCTAAATTGCAAACAATCTTGGTGAATCATTCGCGTACTCATAAGCTCAGTTTTCTATCCAAGCTGATGGTGATCAAACAAGAGGGAAGTACTATCAATAATTATTTACAAAATATCAAAGTTATCATCGATGACTTGGCTTTGATAGGTTATTCCCTATGTGACGAGGAGATCATCATCCATACCCTAAATGGTCATGGAGACGATTACAAGGAGTTGGTGGTTGTAATTCGGGCACGCGACTCGCCAATCTCCTTTGAAGAACTCTGTGACAAGTTGACTGATTATGAGATGTATTTGAAGCCTGCAAACAAACTGCCCGGACCGTCTATCACAGCTCAAGTCAGTTATAAGTCTAACTTCTCGTAACACCCCTCTTATCCTCCTAACTTCTCGTAAAGTGTCAACTCCAATACTCATCCACCTTGGCATCCTGCCCCTTCAAGCCACCAACGATAGATCGTCTGCTAGTTATGTGATAAAATTGGACACTCCACTAAAGTTTGTCGGTCTCGACCCCGCCTTCTTGGTCTGTCACACTGGCCTCAAACAAATCTCCTCACTACTCCGACTATACTAGTTCCACAACGCTTACTTCTGATACTACTATATTTACACTCGATGATGTTTTATGTGCCCCTAATATTAAACACAACCTCATTTATGTTTCTCAATTTTGTAAAAATAACAATAGTTCAATTGAATTCTTTTCTTATTCCTTTCTTGTTAAGGACTTGAGCACAGGACATTATTGATCCAGGGCCCGAATAGAGAAAATATTTACGAATGACCGTCAGCTCCACAAGTAACCCAACCCACCGTTCATTCATCTGTTACGGGTCTAGTTGATATATGACATCATCATTTTGATCATCCCTCGTCCCTTATTCAGCACAAATTATTTTCTAGTTTCTCTCTTCCTATTTCTAAATCGTATAGTTCTATAATAATGCATGTCTTAGTAATAAAAATAATTAGTAGCCATTTGATCCATTTTCCATTTCTACCTCTAAATCAACTTGTTAGCTCCATCCAATGCATCACGGTTCCCAATGCGACCCAAAATCCTTTGCCTTTGTACGCATGTCCTCTGTGTCAAAAGAAAAGAGTGAGGACTCGTTGATACGAAATGTTACCAATTTTTTTCTTTTAATTAATAGGTGCAGAAAACATCAAATGTTTCAGCTTCCGGTGTAAATAGAATGTTATAGTTAGCAAAAAGATAAAGATAAGATTTCATTGTATCTTTAGAAAAATCTTAAAGAAAATCTTCTCTCCTAACTTATATAAAAAAAAAGAAAAATCTTCTCCCCTAACTTATATAAATAAGAGAGATATGTGAATATAATAAAACTTCTTCAGTAATTTTTTTTAATCTTTTTTTTTTAACAATTAAAAAAAAAGTACACACGAAAGCAGCATCCAATCACCAGCGCGCCAATTAGTAATTACAATCGACAATAGAATATATCTAAGGACACGGAGGACGGCGGCTGCGGGGCCCGCAAGAATTAGCATCTCCAGGCTGACGTGCATGCCAGCTCCCTCCCCCTCCAGCTCAGCACGAGGGCCCTGTTTCTCCTCGCCACGTGGTGGCCGTCCACCGGGGCTCGCTGCACCAGCCACTTGGCCTGCGACTCGGCAATCTCGCTGAGGTGTAGGGGAACCCATCCGGCCCCAGCGAGTATCTCTCGCCACGGGCCCAGCCGCACCGGCCACTCTCCCACCGTGGCCGCCACCCACGGCCGCACCACCGCCCGCGCCACCTGTTGCACCGCCCCTTCCCCAGCTCCCGTCGCGGCCGCCGCTTCCGCCACCGACTCCAGCAGCGCCGCATAGTGTCCCACCCCCTCCGACACCCTCCGCTGCAGCGATAGCGTGGGGTGGGCGACCGCTACCCCGGAAGTGGCGCCGCCGTCCGTGTCGACGAACACCACGACCCGCGGTGATGCACGGCGGACGAAGCGGAGTAGCGTGGCGGTGGACACCTGTGCGCCGTCGCCGCTGCCGAAGAGGCGAAATGCGGAGGGCGTGAGGACGACGGCCGTGGGCTCCCCGGCGCCGGAGAGGACGACGTCATTGAGGGCGAGCTTTCCGAGGCCGCCCACTCGGACGAAGTTGACGACGAGGCTGATTTTGAGGTTACGGGCGAAGTCGCGAAGGTTCTCCGCCGCAAAAGCCGTCTCAGCGGACTCCTCCGCGATGAAGGCTGTGATGCGCACGGCAGGCGGGGAGGAGAGGGAGGCGCCGCTCCTCTCGGCGAGCTCCTGCGCGAAGGACGACCACTGCACGCCGAGGCCGAAATCGAAGTCAACGAGGTGGATGGACCGGGCGCCACCGTCGAGCGTCTCGATGAGGATCTGGGTGGCGGTGAAGGTGGCGAAGTGAGGAACGGGAGAGAGGTCCGAGAAGACCTTATGGTCATCGATGTGTCGGACGAGCTCCAGGGCAGGGATGGGCGGCTCGGCGGTGGAGGGGCAGAGCAGGCCCAAAAGCGCCTCCTTGAAGAGAGAGACAGCTCTTTGGAGAGGGGAGACCACCGTAGAGGGTATGTGTTGATTGAGCCGCGACAATATCACGCGTGCCGCGTCGAAATCGTTGGATTCCAGGTAATAGGCGGCGCGGATGAGCGACTCGAGCTGGGAACGGTCGAAGCCGGGGGACGGCGACGAAACGAGGTCGCCGGCGGCGAAAGAGTCGAAGGGGATGTCAAAGTGGGAGTTGAGGAAAGAGGGGTTGACGTCGTCGGGAAGGGGGGAAAAGTCAGGGGTTTCAGGAAGCAACCAGGAGGCGGTGTACCATTGGTCCGAGGAGGGGAAGTGTTGGTGAGAGTTGCCGCCGCCTCGGAAGAGGCGAGGGGGTTCGCAGACGCCGGCGGGTGCGGCCGACGGGGCGGTGACAAACCTGGAGGTGAGGCGTGGGTCGAGGACGGAGGTGGGCTCGTAGAAGAGGTTGGGCGCGAAGAGGATGCTGTTAGTATTGAGGTTGTCGGGAGAGGAGTCGAGGAGGAGGGGTTTGGAAGGCACAGAGAACCGGCGATGAGTCCGAGGGGAGTCAGTGCGGGCCTCGGAATGCTTCATTAGAATCACCAGCGTAGCGTCGGAAAGGGAGCAAAGGTTCTCTCTAACTCTCGCTGATCACATACACATGAATCCTTTCTTGGATCTTGGGACAGGAGCGAGGGAGGAGCTTTTGGTTGTTGCCAAGAGGGCGTCCGTCATAAAGGGGGGAAGAGAGGGAAGGCGAAGAAATGGCACGGGGGGAAACGAGCACTGTGGATGCGTGAAAACGATGAGGAGAGGACATGGGTCAAACAGGCCTTCCCTTACGGCCGCCGAGAGGATTCAGCGTGAAGCTGTTGCTTTCACGTAACTTTGTTGGTGGCCGCCAGTGAGACCACTGACACGCAACAGTGTTTGGGCTCAGTGGTCCTGTTGCTTGTGATATCACTACTCTTTTACTTCTTTTGGTCTCTCTTCTCCCTCGGGATGTCACCTCGTGGATTTGCCGTCTCGTGCAAAAGGAGGGATGGTGATGTTTGCACGCTAGACTGTTTCCCCTTCTCGACTAACGAAAGCACTCATCGCTGTCTTGTCGAGAAGGCCAACTTCACCTTCAGGAGGTTGTCGAGTAACTTCATCAATGCTACTGCTAAACGTACTGTAAATTTGGTGCCAATTGATGATGCAAGTTATAACGAAGACGTTCACCGGTAGGTTCCAATCGAGTAAATATAATTGATGATCAGTAGCTTCTCATCTATCTTGGTCCTTTGCCACCCTCAAATTATTACGTGAAAATTGCATGATTCATCGTTCTCTTCCGTTATCCTGGATGTCTGAAGTGTATTTGAAGTCATATAACTCCAAACGTGACGATATTATCTACAGTGAGCAGTCAACCATTGTCCAGTTAATGGATGACTATGGATTATAAATCATGGTCATCGAGTCTTTGGACACGGAAAATTACAGAAGCCTCAATATCTGATGTGGACACACCCAACCACTTGTTGATGCCAAAAGACAAATTATAGCTCCGATCAGTATATATTATATGCTGTGATGTCCCGATTTAGTTCTACTAATAGGACGAATGCAACTATACGTAAGGTTGGATCAATCTGTTAATATTAATTTAAGTATTACAAATAATATGCTTTTCAACTCTTCAATTATCAAAATCCATACTAGAATATTTAATAGCATTCAAAATTATCTTTAAATAAGTTGATAAAAAAAAGAAAATAATTAGATCTACGTGGAAGGTCTCCTCGTTGCCTTCTATTTGAGTGTGCCATGAAGACCAACTTTCTGTAGGACTGCCGTGTAGGGGCACCCTGGACGCCAAGCCATACTTTGGAAATGATACGATGCAACCATTTTGATGTAAAGCAGAAATGATGAGAACATTTGGCGCACGGTAGACGCACGATGTTCCTTGTGTATGTCGCCCATAAATACATGGGATTGGAGGTCAGTGGAGATCGATGTCATCAAAAGTCACTTTTGTCTTTGCTAACTCGAAGCTTTTGTTAACATGGACTCGTCTTTGATGATTCCTGAGGCTTTTGACACGCTTAGCTTTAATTTCCTGTTGAATAGAGGTACACTAGAATTCTACATTGTAGACTCCAACCTATCCAATTCCTCCTTTGATTAGATCAACAAGTAGAAGCTTTCTCTTTCCGAAATGTAATGCTCATCGACCAAGAGGAAAATATTTATCCAAATTATATCTCCACATCTAGACAGAACGATGAGTCGTATCACATCTACGCCAAGAGATAAAGCGTGCAGAACTCGGAACTCCCACATTTTTGTGTGTGTGTGTACGTGTACACGTGTATGCACTGGCAAGCAAAGGGAGCAGCGTGGGTGCGTGCGCATGCAAAGGGTAACTTGCACGACGACCAACATGGCGATCGTCGACGACAGGTCTAGGCACCACGCAACCGTTGCACCCACGCGGGAACGGACTGCCGCAGCCTTTCCTCGACCGGTGGGTCCGGTCGGCCCCACCAGCGTCACTCGTTTTGTGGTCCCCACGACATGGGTAATCTGGCGGCCGTCCATGCATGCACCCAAGCACGCATCACATCAGGCAATGAGGGAGCCACGTCACCGGCAAAAGACCCACGTGTGGGCCACCATCTCACGAGACGAGCCGTGATGCATTTGACCGACGCATCGGGTAATGGTGATCGGATGCTTACGAGTCACATCCTCTTAAAATATTTAATAATCAGAGTCTATCATGTTGGAGATAAGAGATATCTCATAGTTGGATTTAACTACATCAAATATATAAATAAATATTTTATGATCAAATTTAATTTAATAAAAAATACGAATTTTTTTATAATCGAATTTGAAATTAATTATTGTAGATTCTAGTTGTTCCAAGTTCGAGGATTTAGTACCGATCTTAATTCTTGTTAAGACTAAATTAGTTAAATTTAATATAAATTAGCGTACGTAAATATATTTAAAGTGAGACAAATTTTATAAAAATAATTATTCAAAATGATTTGATATTATTTGGACATTAAACGTCAACCGATCCATCGAGCATTATGGATAATATTATTGTGTATCGTGTCGATCATACGAGCTACAACTAAATGTTTAAATAAGAATGATGTGAAGTTAGAAGGTTTACACGCAACATTCATTATTAAATTTCATAAGGATTCTTTTATTTAAATAAAAAGTCCATCGACTTCCTCCTCGGTGATTTTGGAGGCATCCAACCCGATTATAATTGATATTTACGATTTACCAAATAATAATAATAATATAAAAGTTACATAAAATAATCATGAGGTAGAAGATAGTCAAAGATTTCGTGTCTTCGTGTATAGATTCAGTGCATCCGCCTTCAATGAATGTGATTATTTTGACGACAGAACCAGCAACCGGTCCGGACCGACAACCTACCCTGCAATTGGACCCCTAATGGATGGGCCCGGACCGGACCGGTTGTGTTTACAGATGTTAAATGCGGGTCGGTCGAACGCTGTTTCGAGTCCCATTTCTAACACCTCAACTACTGTTAACCCCATCTCATCTAAAACCTCGTCCGGTTCAGTGACGAGGTCTCATTTCATGGTTCGAACGCCGAGCCAGACCGTCCATCGGATGAAATTGCAGATCATCATGATCAACGATACGGCTTGCAATTACCAACTGAACCATACTATAATAATATAATTAGAAAATTTTGAAATATAAAAAACATATATTTGTTGTGTGTTTGTGTTTTTCTTAACATTCATATTCAAATCGAATGAAAAGATAGGAAAAGGAAAGGTAGAAGATAACGTGGACTTGCAACCAAACAGCTATCCCTTGAATGAGATTGAATCCGACATCAATTGATTTGTGGGAGGATGGCTGACTTTAATTTTTTGTTTCCCAAACACAAAAGAACTCATCTTTCTCTGCCACACACATCTTTCACTACGACATTATTATTAGCTTTCTTTATATTTCGAGGACTTACTACTGCCTGGATAATTATGTAGCTGTTTGCTGAAAATAGGCTATCCACATTTCTTTTTTTGAGTTTCTTGCATATCGGGTGATTGTTAAATCAATATATTTATATTTATATTTTGCTTAAAACGTATTCATATATACCCTCCATAGCTTTTCCCCATCACCTAATATCCTTTTATAATAGTTATGATGACAATAATATTTATGACATTTTAGTTATGAATAATTAATTAACCATTGAGAATATAAGTATAATTGATAATTCAACCAGTATAATATATTTGAGTGATTTTCCTATAAATGTTGCTCTTTTTAGGATTTTTTTTTCTGAGCCCCGTGTTCGATTTTTTTTTTGTGCACTTATTTTCATATAATATCCTAAATATTTATCTTCATCACTCGTCTCTTACATTTTATCATGGTCATCTTTGCACGCTTGTGACTTGACAAGGGGATTATCACTAAGGAGGGCAAAGAGCAACAACATATCACCCTTCTTAAGGATTATCTTTCTATATTGCTATCGTTCTCGTCAACCACGGAAGTGAGAACCAAGGTGATGTGAGCACAATCGGTAAGAGCTCAGGTGGGGGAATTGGATAGTGACAATGTAGTTCCAAACCCAAGGAAGATGGAGTCAATGTTGACGATGAAAGAAGACTTGTGACGAAACTGTCATATTTATCTTTGTCAAAGTAGATGGACATGAGTTAATTAAAGTCAACAACGGATGCGTCAAAGAGACGAGGGTCTGGTGATGATAATGACTTGACAAAAAGAAAGACGTCAATATAATAAGAACAACAAACAATGAGGGTATGCTTTAGGATCTTTGTGACCTTCGCGAAGATACGTCAGAGAAGATGAAATGGAAGCAATGAGAGTATCATAGGAAAATAAAACACCAAAATAAGATGGTCTTCTTCTTGGCCTCTTTATCATTAATACCAAACTCGGAAGGTAGCGATGCGCATTATATAATAACGATGTGTGCATTCCGTGGCCATACGAACATTAGGTTGCCACATTAATGTGAGTTTGTGTTGCATCGATGATGGAAAGGAGGGAGGATGAGACAGGTTCTTGCTGACTCATTTACATTAATTTTCTATCACTACATTTAGACTACTATATATGAGACACTCTTACAAATTAAAACCTATTTAAGTACGCTCTCAGCATTTTACTATTCTCTTCCTAATGAATAAATACAAGTGAAGGGAAAAAGTGCTGCTTTGTTTCTTGCTTTGCTTGACGGCCGCTGTCAACTTGCGTCCGATGAGAGCTCCACTCGCGCGAATAATGAAAAGGCACCGGCGTCCTGTCGCTACAGAACTGAGGGGCTAGCCGGCTTCCTCTCCGCTCCTTTCCACTCTCCAGTCGCCGCTGCAGATCTCATGTCGATTCCACCGCCGGCCGAAGTCGTCAATGCCGATAGCCCGCCTTTGGCGGAACCACCGACTGCCCCCATTCCTAAACCCAGCAAGTCCAGCGTCGTCGCCGGCTTTGCCCTGAACAACGACGAGGACCCCGTCATCAGGTCCGGCTCATAAGCGAGTCCGAGCCCCAGCCATGCCGATAGCATTGGTGCTCCTGGCTCCGTTTCTGGTTGGTGGTGGTGCTGCTGCTGGCCCCATTGCAGGTTGCTACCCTGGATCATCTTCTCCTGATGCCCTGTTGGAGCATCGAGGCCGAATCCTTTGAGGAAGGATGACCCGGTCGGCGTGGCGACCATATGAGCTGCCTTCTGCAGCAGCGCGGTCGCGGACATGTGCGGGGAAGGCGCCGGTGGTGCGAACGGACGTCGTCCATGAGCTTGTGCCTGCGGCGAGAACAACCATGCTGGCCCTCCGTTCGTGGCGAGACCAAGCGAGGGAGGTTCCATTAGGGGCCGGTCGTCATGGCCCATGGCGCCCATGCGGTCCGACAAGAAGGTGGTGGTGTGAGCGGCAGCGGTGGTGATACTTGACGCGAAGAGGCTCGCAAACAGGCTAGTGTTGCTCCTGCTGCTGCTACTGGCGGTGGCGCAGCTGGTGTTGGCGATCGACGTTGACGGAGGTGGCACGTACTGTAGCGATCCAATTGGGTTCTCCAGCTCTGCAAAAGGAATTGTAAGCCGTAAGCACGCCATGGGAAAAAGAATGGTCCAAGAAGAAGAAATGATGCCATCGACATGAGTAAATCTCCCGTAACTTTAGATTCATTCCGACTGTTTATGCTCAGTAGCAGCAATGCAAAGTTCTAATCACACACAACTTTCGCAGCTCGCTCTAAAAGTCCCTTCTTTTTACCTTCATCATCTGCCCACAAAACTCTACCTTTCTCTTCTCCATTTGAATCCGCAGAGAGTGCTTCTCGGGCCGACAAAAGATCCCAATAAACCATGTCTTATTTCTCGCTAACTTCGCGTGTTTTTGTTTTGTATTGCATCGAAATCTAAGATCCGATCAGACCCCTTCGTTTCTCTTCTCCTCCCATTCCCTTAATTAATAGCATTCCGCAGACTGAAAGAAGCCATAGAAGAGAACAAAGGAGGAGGGAGGAGGGAGGAGGAGGAGGACCACAGACCTTGCCGAACCAGCGGCTCCACCTGTTGTAGCGAAAATGGTGGCGCGACCACTGCGGCCGCTGCTGTCGTTTCCGAAACTGCAGCTGCTTCTCCGTCGTCCTCTGCAGAGGGCTTTGGGTCTGTCGGCGGCGACGCTGTCTTCGAGCTCTCCTCCGCCAGCGCATCGCAGATTGCTCTGTGGGTGACGAAGCTATCCCTCCTAACCAACCAAAGCGAAACAGCATATGAAGGAAGTGAACAATAAGATCTACGATCGGAATCGAAGACCACGCAACAAAAACGAATCATTTGGGTGGGGAAGTTATCGGGAACGAGTCGAGTACCGGGAGAAGAGGGTGCCGCAGTCGCAGCGGTACTCGCGGGTGCCGCAGATCTTGGAATGGGCCTTCCAGTCGGACTGCACGGCGTACTTCTTGGAGCACTTGTCGCACTTCCACTTTTTCTCGCCGTGCTTGCGGCAGAAGTGTTTCTTGATGCCGGTGAGGTCGCCGAGCGCCCGCGACGGGTCGTGGTGCACGCAGCCCGCCTCCGGGCACACGTACACCCGCTTCCGCGGCTCCTTCCCCGTGCGCTGCCGCAGCTTCCACGGTAAGTTGTGCCCCCTCCGGTGTAGCTGCAGGTTCTGATCCCGCTGGAATCCCTTGCTGCAGATCTCGCACACGAATCGATTGGTGGCCAGCAGGGTCCTCGGCGACAGCGCGACCACCTCCGCCTCCGGATCTACCCACCCCACACAATCCCATTCGAATGACCACAATAAAAAAGGGGGCAAAAAAATCTCAATTTTACACCATAAACCATTTCCAATTTCACTCACCTGGCGTTCCTGGGAGGTTCCTCTTCTTCTTGACCACCGCAATCGACGGAGGCGGGAGAGGAGAAGGTGGCGCAGGGGCCCGGAGCCGGTCAGAGGAGGAGATGCTGGCCTCGCCGGAGCCGGAGTTGGAGATAGTCATGACAGAGGAATCCTCCAATTCGATCACCCAAATCTCTCTCTCTCTCTCTCTCTCTCTCTCTCTCTCTCTCTCTCTAACGCTGACACACGCAGAAAAGAGAGCCGAAACAAAAAGGAGAAGCTTTCATCAGCTACCAGTCTTTTAACACTATCAAACACCAAGCTCATCCAAGAGCAAGCCGGCGCTCCCAACCACCGTTCCACCTTGCCGGCCCGCCAAAAGACGGGTCCACCGGCGGTACGCAGAAAACCGCCAGCATCACGAGAAATAAAGGCGAAACGATCACAAAGCCGAGAATGCGGACTCCTCTTATCCGGCAACACCCGAGGGAGGAGACACAGAGGAGTGCTGCTGCTGTCTTCTCGGGCGGCTTCTTTCTCTGCAAAGGAAGGAAAGTGAGAAGCGAGGAGAGCAGCGCCGTAATCAAAGAATGTCGGGCGAAAGCGGTGGGACAAGGGATTCGTTGTGACGTGGAGGCATATTAGCTGTCCACGTATCGAGTAGCATGGCTCTTCTCGTCGCGTTGCGTGGAGCGCTACCGACCCATTATATATTTTCTTATTCTTAGTATTTATCTATAGTCTTTAACTAAAATATAAAATTTAGTTGAGTTTCATTTTTGGGATCGCAAGAAATGCAACAGTGTTTTTCATCTGAAAAATTAAAATGGCAGTACCTAAAATGGGTATATAGTTCCGAATTTAAAATCAAAAATCGATATAACAATCAATTCCAATTTTGATATGTTTAATAATATAAATGTCACATCAACACCTTTCCTTAATACATATACATATGACTCAATAATTTACTCCTATTTAGAATTATAATGCTGTCACTTTTTTCAAATATGAACAATAACTTTGAGATATAAAAATCTACATGATATTCATATACAATCTTGATTTAGTTTTTCTGAATCATCTACTCACGACTAACTTAAGCTTCGATTGATTTATATTAAAAATAATATGATATAATTTTTATATATCATTCATTGATTTAGTTTTTTCGAATCATCTACTCACGACTAATTTAAGCTTCGATTGATTTATATTGAAAATAATATGATATAATTTTTACATATCATTCATAAGTCATTGTAATATACTAATGGCGAAACCTAATAAATTTTCATTATTTTGGTAACCTTCAAACAAATAAATATGTGATGTAAGAGACAGAAATAAGAAAACAAATAAATCAACGATGATGTAAGAGACATACAAGTAAGAACTCAATGTAAAACATAAATGGGGCTACAAACCCTCCTTTTTTGATCTTACAAATCAACCATGTACTGTTGGTAAAGATGGATGGAAGGATTAGCTCATGAACTTTACTGCCATCAATATTGAACAGAAATTAGATACTTTGACTTGGTTGTTTTTGGGTGAGACGAGGCTTGTTTTAGCTTTTGTCAATTTTGTTCTGTCAATCAACTTATCATTACAGATAAATAAAGATTAAATACATTAGCTACATCCAAATCAATTTTTTAGACTAAAAAATTATGAAAAGAAATAAGAAAATAAGAAACTTGGGAGGAAAAAGATTTTGTCTCTTTGTAAACTCTTTTGTTGGCGTAAAGATGTATGAAATTTGATTTGATTCTCATCTCAAATCACGATGTTTTTGAATAGAAATAATATATTCCGAGCATCTTTATAGAAAAGAAAAAAATCTTACGATAAAAGTTATCCGAGCATAGATGAATCCTCACAACTATATCATTGGGTGCATTCTCAACTCAGCTCTTTCGATACGTAAGTCAATCAAAAATTGATGAAAAAGAAAAAGATAAAAAATATAATTTAAATTTTTATTAAAAAAAATTATATGCATAATTGGCTAATGATTCTTTTTATTTTTTATTTGATGGGTTGGTACCCACGTGTCAAATGTTTTTATCTTTTGTCATCTTTGATTGACTAATAATATGGTATTGTCTCATCCTAACTTCATTATCTTTCTAATAGTTGATAGATTTCTTTGCTTTGTTCCTGAGATTAAATCACTTGACCCTTTGATTTAAGAATATTTTATTACCTACCTGTATGGTGGCCACTTTAGTGTGAAATCATTATTTATATCACTAATCATTATCATCCACATGCCAATCATAATTACATTTCCTAACTATCCCCTTCCTTTTCCAACCTTTTCACAATATGATTGGGTTCAGCTTACTGACACCAATCAGATGCAAAGCTTCATTGTATTATGGCCAACCAAATTTACAATCTTTACATCTTAATCTAACAAGTCAACAATGTGGATTGATTTTAGGCAACCCTTATGATATTTTCTCATTGTCAGTATCGTCTCTCTGCAAGGTTTGATCAAACTTATCCATCATGATAGGTTTTGGGATCATCCTCTTGCTCTCCTGGCCTGTTCTCTACCTTATGCTCTACCTGTACTGATGTTATGTATGATGTGGGGCCTGAATTGGTGCCAATGCCTCATCCATCCTACCTTTATGGGAGGATAGATATTGCGGTCAATGACCGCTCTCATTCATTTCAGCTTCCACAGATTTCGTCAAAGTAGTCCTCTTTTGGAAGCGACAAATGGGGGACATTTATTGTCTCTCCTTCAGCCAGTAGACGCCAGTTTGAATGGATTCGTATGGTACGACGATGGCTCCTCAAAACAGTATTCAAAGATCAAGCGAAGACAAACGATCCAAGAAACATGGCATGACATCAGACTCTGCAATGAATGCGAGAGAGGCACAGTAGCACGCAGAGTAAAATATTTGTATTATTGGATGAAATATTGGATTGAAAGATAGTTTCAATAATAAAATATTTGTATTATGACATAGATAATTAAGATATATATTTTTAAAAAATAAAATATTAGTAAAAGATAATATTTTAGAATATTTAAATTTTATTAATTTTACTGTTTGTATAGATTACATTAAGGAAAAAAAAACTAACCATAGAAAAAGACCATAAGAAGTAAAGAATTCCTTAAGATTATTCATATTGATTTCTGCAGACCACTTTATATTCTCTATTTCAATAAAAAAATTATTTCATCATATTTATAGATGATCTATCGATATAGTTATGTTTATCTAATACATGAAAAGTCTCACGTTGTTAACACTCTTAAAGTATGCATAAATGATGTTAGAAGGAATGTTTTGACCACGATTCATCATCCCTCGTGGAAATTTGCACATCACGTCAGCCTATGCATAAACAGTACTTCCGTATATAAATGTGTTCTTATACATTTATGGCTTCAGGAACAGCAGAATACTAGACGTCGAAGCTTTTGGTGGTGACCAAGGGATGGTTTAATTCTTTGCAGGATGCAATTACACTGGCTGTTCACCCATCATGGATCGTGTTAGACAACAGATATGCCATGGCTGGTGAGTCAGCACGGCTAGGTACATGGGCCAATGTCGGGAGTTTTCTGTAGGGTGATTCGGATGATGAGGTACCCAAAATCTCGGGAAGGAGTGTTGGTTGGCATTGGTCGGGATCGAGGCTGATTGGTGACTCCTTGGTGCCGGGCGGATCGCGCTCCCGTGTCGAGTCCCTCACCGTCGATGAGTGGTCGCCCTTCTGTAAAAATGGCCTCCGCCGGGTGGTACCTGGCCGTGGCCCCTCCGACGAGCAAGTTAATAACGAGAGGGATTGCTTTTTTCCTTCTTTTTTTCTTTCCTCTCCCTGGTCGGAGGCCAGCCAGGGGTTTTATACTATGGCACGAGGGCTGATGGTGCATTGATTTGGTGTTGTTGCTCCTAACCCCCGAGAGATGGGATGACCCTTCTAACCGGTCGTTGTTCCGGGACGGGCAGAGTGGCATTAGACGGCACCGTCCCGAGCTCCCGGGACAGGACGTGTGGCATATCTTCTTGGTACGAGCTCCCGGGAAGGAACGGGATGGGTGGTGTTGGGCTCCGATTTGGCATGCGATGTCAACGGTGATGTGTCCAGGCCGCCAAAATATACCATATCACTTCTCTCTCCCCCGTCGCCGCCCACCCAACTCCCCCCCCCTCATTAAGGTATGTCGCGGGGGCCTTAATAGGCCAGGAGGCATGCCTGAGTTGGAGGGATATTGATCGCCTAGAAGGGGAAACGAAATTGACTCGTCGGGGGGTGATTAGAGGGGCAACGCCCCATGCCTCGGGCAGGATTGACTCTGCGGATCAGGTTGTCAGGGCCTGTCGTCCTGGTCGGTTGGATGACTGGTTTAGCGCGGGTCGAGTCGGTGAGCAAACCGAGGTGACCCAATCAGGGCTACGAGCTATGGATCGACGTGGAGTGACTTGGGCGTCGGGGAGGGGCATAGGGTCAGCCGCATGGCATGACTCGGGCGTTAGGTTGTTTCAAGATGCGATACGGGCATCGGATCGGCCGCGAGGTGTGACTCGGGCCTGTGGGCCGAGCGACTGTGCTCGTGCTCAGGTTTTGATGCCAGAGGGTCATCTGTCGAGAGCGATATGGGGCGACTCAGGCAGGAGCTGGAATCGCAATTATGCTCGGGCTCGAGCTTTGGTGCTGGCGGGTCACCTGTCGAGAGCGATCTGGAGCGACCCGGGCAAGAGCGGTGCCAGTTGGTCGCCTGCCGAGAGCGATCTGGGGCGACTCGGGCAGGAGCCGGAATCACAAATCAAGTGATTATGCTCGGGCTCGGGCTTTGGTGCCAGCGGGTCACCTGTCGAGAGCGATCTGGAGCGACCCGGGCAAGAGCCAGACCTGCGGGCTGAGCAACTATGCTCGTGCTCAGGTTTCGGTACCGGTGGGTCGTTTGTCGAGAGCGATGTGGGGCGACCTGGGCAGGAGCTGGAATCGCGAGCCGAGCAATTTTGCTTGGGTTCGGGCTTTGGTGCCGGCGGGTTGCTTGTCGAGAGCGATCTGGAGCGACCCGGGCAAGAGCTAGACCTGCGGGCCGAGATGTTAGACAATAGATATGTCGTGGCTGGTGAGTCAGCATGGCTAGGTCCACGGGCTAATGTCGGGAGCTTTCTACAGGGTGATTCGGATGATGAGATACCCGAGCTCTCGAGAAGGAGTGCTGGTTGGTGTTGGTCGGGATCGGGACTAATTGACGACTCCTTGGTGTCAGGCGGATCACGCTCCCATGCCGAGTTCCTCACCGTCGATGAGTGGTCGCTCTCCTGCAAAAATGGCCTTCGTCGGGTGGCACTCAGCCGTGGCCCCTCCAACGAGCAAGTTAGTAACGAGAGGGATTGCTTTTTTCCTTCTTTTTTCTTTCCTCTCCTTGGCCAGAGGCAAGCCAAGTGTTTTATACTATGGCACGAGGGCTGATGGTGCGTTGATTCGACGTCGCCGCTATTGACCCCCGAGAGATGGGACAGTCCTTCTGACTAGCCACCGTTCCGGGATGCGTAGAGCGATGTCAGACGGCACCGCCCCGAACTCCCGAGGCGGGACGCGTGACATATCTTCTTGGTACTAGCTCCCGAGACGGGACGCGTGGCGTAGAGCTTCGATTTGGCGTGTGGTGTCAGCGGTGACGTGTCCATGCCGCCAAAATATACCATATCAGATTGTTCATTCCCAAATCACCTATTTCAAATTTTTATTTTAAAAAATAACCCTTCAATTAATTATTTATTAGATTATTGGAAGGGACATATTTATCGTTTGAAAGGACTTATGATCATCGATTCGGAACCGTTGACCCGATTTGACTCCTGAGGATGATCGGTTCAGTTCCCATTTGAACTGAAGCGTGATCAGATCTGCTGTAAGGAACCATTCCGGCCTGGAACTTAGTCTGGTTGGGCCAGAATGTATCTGACTCAGGTGCCCGTAATAGTAGACTAAAGAACATCACCCAGCTGAGTAAGCTTAGAACAAAGATTGTAGTCAGGTCCTGTTGACCACAAAAAAAAGCTCATGGTTGTAACTAAGGCCTATCGGTTGCAAATTAGGCATTTAAGTCAGTGATAAACTAGAAAATTAAAATTTTCTCCCATCATGCATTTAACAGAACAGCTCGAGTAACTTTTGTTGATTGACTATCTACATGACAAACAAGCAAACTACCGTACAAACTTGTGATGACCTGCCATATTAAGAATAATCTATTTCCAAGTTCCTGTTGATTCCTTCCATTCCAAGACAAGACAAAAAAAAAAAGTCTCCAAAACGCCTTCACAAGGGCAATTGTTCTACTTTGCTTCCTTTGTAAGCTTGTAGTAGATAATAATAGGCAGAGTAGACTAATTCAACCTGTGACATGCTTCAATGGAATTGCCCGAGCTTCTTTTATGACAATATTGATATTATTAAGAATAGGCGAAGAGTTAACTGAGCCGAGTTGTATAATCTACAAAGGTTGAAGTTCTTGTTCAGGAAGAGGTGAATCCACTGGCCTGTATTGCCCAGGCCCTTTGTTCCGTCTCCAAATGTACCACACCGTGAGGGTCGTAAAGCTGAGTAAAATCACCATTGATACTCCCACCAGAAGTGCAACCGTATGCCATTGCCACCAAGTTCTACACATCATAAATTAAATCTCGAATTAGGATAAGAAAATAGGAACTTGAATATTTCATATAGATGAAAAAGGCTCTGATTTATTAGAAGCAGAGCACGAACACAATAAGAGAACACTGGAAGAAATTGAACAGCTTCATTAAAGTTAAATAAAGCATCCGGATACTCCAGAAAGGATAACCCACTATTAAACTAGATAAACAGAAGTTAATGGCATGTCAATTGTGAATTTTTCATAAACTAGATTAGTTTCACCCAATAAAACTTTTACTCTTCACATGTGCCATTGCTTTATTCTTTTTTTTTTATGTGGGCAAAACAACTCAATATTAGACACAATCTTTCAGCAAACTCACGATAGAATATGCTCAAACACGAAATACCAATGGAAGCTAGTGGCTTTCAACTAAAATCAGCAAGAGAAACAAGTCTAGTATACTTATATGAGGATCTACTTCAATGGAACTCATTTATTTCTTGGATAACATTGTAGGACCTACCCAAGATATTATGTAGGATATCTATCTACTTGCAATAACTAGATATCAAGAAGCATATTACAAGGTTAACTTTGACAATATAATGTCATGCTGCCTAATCATTTCCTGAGAAAAGCAGAAGGAACTTATTATTAATAAGTGAACAAGTTCTTTGCTTGCAATTGCTAGTACAGTGGACCAACATAGGGAAAACAATTAAAAAGACTAGGAGATGAACAAAATGCTGACCGAGAGTATCAGTACCTTCTTGATGGAGGCTCAACATTCCATTCAACCAACTGATAACTTCCAAAATCTTCCGGAAGGTGAACTCGATGCTCAGTTAAACGAGATATTATATCCTGTGAATTAACATTTTTGCTTTAAGTTGAAAGTCCTAATATGTAAACCTTCTAAAATGCCAGAAAGCATATTACCATCACTGTGGTATTAGAAAAGAAATTAGAAGATCCAGCTGGAAAGATTGACCATCTCATCAGGGTGCCATTTCCCTCGCTTGTTATATTTATTAAATGAACCTGTAAACAAGTAAATTCAGCTTTCAACTAATACAGGGATGACAAAAAAACAAGTACTTTAATATCTTGCAACCATCTATCACAAACTAGAGAAAGTCTATCAATAACACATTGAAGATTGTATCAAGAGCAAGGTATGCAATTTCGTACCATACCGGAGTTTCGACGTTCGTTCGGTATGGTACGAAACTGTATACCGAGCGGTATACCGTTTCCTTCTCCCACGCGGGGCGACGTCACCGAGTTGATATATA